GAGGGGGGGGGAGATAAAGTTCAGCTTTTCGAAAATGCACAACTCTTTGAAGCAGCAATCTTTCAACCTGGGGTGTTTCGATATAGACCTTACCAAGATTAGTTAATGACTCTTGTGACTTTTTCGCCAATTTGTGTCTTTAACTTTTCTTTGTTTATATTTTATCGCAAGGATGTGAACACCTGTTGTTTCATTGGTGCTTTGTGCTATTATATGCACTGGTTTAAACAAAAAATGGGATATTTAATTCTATTCGGGGTGTCTTTCTCTTATATTACTTACCTGGCCAATTCTTTGATCAAATTTCACCATCATATCATCATCTTTTCTTTTCTCTGTTAAGTACCTAACGCCCACAGAGTTTTATCATAGCGTTCCAAAAATTTTCTCTACTTAGAACATGAGGATTTTATATCAATGGAAATACCGTTACTTAGGTAATATCCTTATAACACATTCGCAGTCTTTTGTCTATTCGACTTCTTTTTCTTTTCGGAATTGGGTTTGTACATATTGTCAGTGCTTTTCTTTGTCGTCATACCTCGAACCCATCAACACCTCCTTCGCAAAACCCTCTGCCAATATATTATTTTCGAACTTAAATTGGTATTTGAATGTATAAATTTCTTCTATCTCCTTAGTCTGGAATACTATTTTCTATCCTATTGTTGTAACCATTGCCCATGGCAATACTAAGCATCTTAGTATTGAGTTGTGGGAGCAACGGAAGCTGGAAGTCAGAAAATTTATGAATGATAGAGGCAAAGCGGCTCAAAGTTACTGAGATCAACATCAAGAGCCTAATTTCACTTGATGCTGGAGTTCGACTTCTGCAATATTTGCAGAATGGGTGCCTAATATTCCAAAATTTAAGATTCCACAATTAGTCTTCCAGATCAAGGCAAATTCTCGCCAACCAATTCGTCGATCAAGAGGAATTCCAACTTACTGCTAGATTTTTTTATGAAGTCACAGAAATTGCCAAGACAAAGTGTCCATAGATGATATTTGGAAACTTAGCGTTGTAGCATTTATTTCAAATGGTGGGCTTTATGACACTGATCATTAGCCCTTTAGCTGACTACGGGCTTCATAGAGAGGAGGAGAATCATCAAAGTGACAAAAAGACGAGAGGGGGACAGAATAATGATTCACAGATTTAAAGGAGACAGACAGATACAAAGGCAGAGAATAGATAAGATAAGTACTGTGGAAGGGGCCGAATATGGCATGCAGTCGGGCCATGGTAGTTTGAAGTCAGAAGTCAACTGCCAGTTAATAGACTTTTTTGCCGCATGAGTATACGTTGCCTGGGCTGCACCACGTGGAGGTAAGTTTATCGCAAACCACACGTTTTAGTATAGAAGAGGTAAAATGACTAAAGATTGAAAGCTAAATTAGTACCTGTTATTAATGTGATTTGTAATTAATTTTCTATTTACTTTGGTGTTCTCGACTTGAACGTTGCGTCTGGAATTTCATTTATGTTCGAAACTATTGTGTCAATAACTTATTGCTTATTTCTATTCTCCTTCCTTTTATAGTTTTATTAACTATAGAGTAAACCCTGTTTCTCTAAATTCAAATTATTGGCACACTTTGAATACCCCTCTTATTAAGGACGCTTGCTTATGTGCCACACATTTGCAACCTTTGAAAAGCAGCAGATCTAATCAGATAACCTATTATCTGTCTACACAAAGTGAATAAGGTGCTTTGGAGGGTGGGATAAGATATTAATAACGAGGCATTTGATTGAACCTCCCTTTACCGATAGGATGGTTGCTCTATCGGCTTCGATATGCGAATGCCTTGAAAAAGGTCCTAAATCGCATTATCGGCACAAATGGGTTTGATAAGCCTTCAGTTCGTTCGTCGCCTATCTGGCAATTAGATGGTGATTTTAAATTAAGTGAAATTACAATGGTGCCTTAAGAAATGCATTTGCTCAGTAGACGCGTACCTTCTATGCCTAATGTATCGGTAATTCTTAATTGGCATTTATGGAATCTGCATTCTCAAGCCATTCTACGACACTTGAACAGAAGGAGGTGGTGGAAAGAATCTCGGGGTGAGAGGAGCTATAGCTGAAGTTATTCATTTCGGCTTAAATTAACAAATATGGTAAAATACTTCAAGTTTTAATCTGACGAATTTCATGATCTTCATATCTTATTGATTAATTTCTGCTGGCACCATTTCAATAAAACACTTTTGACAAGATAAAATGGATAAAGTTGAATTGGTATTATCCATGTTTTTGTTCAAAATTTATAAATAAGGCATATTATAAGTAGTAACATATTAAGCACACTATAGTTCACAGCAAATGTCGAGAAGGCCCTCCACGAACTTGGAAACGCAACTCAGCACATCTCCTCCATCCTGTCCACGCTAAATGTGATATATTCTGCTTCTCTATAAGACTTACATTATTTCCCTTCAACAGCTATTCTACCTCTGGTGCTCTAGTTCTAATTACTTCATTGTTGACTAAAACAACCCCTCCTCACATCAATCTCCTTGATCAGACTTTGGTTATCTTTAATTTTACCAATTTTTGGCAAGCGAAAGCTTAAACATTTGAAGTCATTTCATCAGTTTGCCCACTAAAAGGAATTTTAACAACTGCTTTTGTTGTCATTAAAATTAGTTGCCAAAAATAAAAAAAATCACCATTTCAGTTTTATCTTAAAGTCCACATTTTTTCTAACTATTTTATGCCATTGTAAATCAAATTAATATTTAGAACTAGGTCAATAGTGACCTGAAGAATTTTCTCCCTTAAAGGGGACTTCATTACCATTATTATTTACCTAAAAATTATATTCACTAATGACTTAGTAATTTATGAAAAATTCACAAATTCATATGACGTTGGTTGTTCTAATGTACCACATTAATCAACTCATAGAAGTGGCAGTACTTAATCAATAGAATATAATTGAGCTTTTATTCTTGAACCCCACTTGTAAACACATATGAAGTTAGGGAGTCAACGGTTTGATTGGGATAAATGGGCTTGTTCAGTCCCCACCAGATAATTGTTTCACCGTTGGCAGGAGTGAATATTAGAAAGGATGATGGAATATTTTTAAAACTCTTGTTGCCGCAACCCTTAAGCTATTTCAATTCTTGTCAGTGAGTCATTTGTCGGCTTACGCTGAAGGTTAAAAGTCACGCCAAAGCATCTGTGCCAGGATTTGTGTCTAAGGCTTCGGCGCAGCATGTTTCTTGCTTCATCTATTGTGATTTAATGGCAGAAATTGTTACTGGGCTTTTGAAGTCTCATATCGAGAGGTTAAATGCCAACTAACGTTTCTGAGAGCGCCTTGAATTCTTGCATTTATTCGATTCGAGTTAAAGTTAGTGGCCTTGGATTAACTTATGCTAGTATGAATGTTATTTTTTGCACTGTAATGGTTGTTAAATAGAGTTCTCAAACTCTGTTTTAACAACAAATAAATTTTCTAATTTCTGCTGTTAGAAACAGGTGACCTATAAAGCTACTCCATATTTCGTGCCAATTCTTTCTGCAAAATGACAGAAAGTCTTGCTTAATGCGTAGATCTGTCATGATTTCCATTACCTGTCGATTAGGGGAATTCCAATTATTTCATATTTATGAAGTACCTAAATTTAATATCTGCCTAGATTTCGCAAATTAACTTCCAAGTATGCATATGAATATCATATTCCCCGATTAGCTTCTCAGACGTTTTCTACAAGAATGGATTACTACTACCTGATTAATCATATGTATTATCTTTCGATCATTCTAAGGTGAAAAAATTGTTATCCATTGTCTTGTTTAACGTTTGGAGATTAAATTAATGACAACGAAGTATTCATATTCCAAGTTATGAGCATAGACATCAATTTATTTATTTATATCAAATGGCAGGCGTTGTGAAAGTTATCACTAGCCCTTTAGTTGACTTCAGGCTTCATGGAGAGGAGGAACATCAAAGTGAAACAAGTCGAGAGGGAGAGGGGGAACAAAGGAGAGTTTCAAAGATGTAAAAGGGACAGAC